ATAGAGAATATGTGTATATGGAACCTGAAAAAAAAATCAGCGATTATTTCAATCCCAAACCTTCAGAAATCTCGATTCATATTCTCATAGAAGAAGCATAGCTTTGAGACTATGTCTCATCTAATGAGTAGTTTTTTATATTTGAAATATTAATAGCATATATTAAAAGCTTCATATATATGTATTATGTGCTATGTAGTTATGTCTTTCTTGGTTGGCTTTATTGGTACCAATAAAAATAACATGACTATTACTGTGTACATGTGAATCTATCTACCCATTATTTTGTAAATTTTTTAATCCTAACCTTCTTACTAGCTGGAGAATTATTGACAATAAGAAATTTTTTTTTATAGTGATCGTTATACACTTTAATTGATATAAAAATCTGTTAAAGCGATGTTTGGTTAAACAATTCTCATATCACTCAGCAAAAATTTCGCTGACTCAAGTCAGTAAAAATTTTCAGCTCGAATAGGACTTGGAGTGTATATAAATCAGAGGTATAAGATATGTTTTTTATTATTAATAGATCCTCTAAAATAAATGACTGTAGTTACCACGTTATAAACTAGCATAGTTAAATCTCACAGATGCGCCCAAGTATCAACTGCGTCTGAGAAATCCTTCTATCGGATGGATATTATCAATGCGCATAACTTAGTTTGAGTAAATTCATTAGTTTATTCATATAGTTTTAATAGTTGACTATAGTATCTATTGTTCGAGTAGATAAAATTATTATTATAAAATTCTCAAGGCTCATTGCATTAGTGCGACACATTAACTTGTTCGAGTAGTTAACTATAGTTAACTAGTTAAAATATACGAAATAAACTAGTCCAAACCTTAATTAATCTTTGCTTCATAAACGCTTTCGACTAACCCATATATACTTACAAGAATTTTATCACATAACCTAATTGGAGTATGATCGATATTGTTGCAACTGTAGGAGAGACTTGGCTAACATAGGGTCAAATTAGCTTAGAGTTACAAACATAGATTATGCGAAATAGATGATTATTAGAGGATTTAGAATTAATGATAGTTCAGGCCTTACATTTACATATTTTAGTCTGCCATATTCTGAATGATAGGTTAAATTATTCATAGAATTAGTAAATAATACTCTTTTTTATGTCTTTAGTGTTAGTAATATTTGTAATTTTACTTATCTTAATAAAAATCCGATTCTCTTGTATATTATATATTGTTATTTAAAGTCTTAATATTAACAATCCGATCGTAATAAAAAAATAAACTAATTTTAGTTATGTGATATTGTGACCTGGGGTCATGTACTACCAACCTGCCTTTTTCTCACGTTCAATTTTTGATTTATAATAGATATCTAGAAAGCCTTTTCTTATTATATATGATACTGCGATAAGAAAAGCGCAAATGGAACTTAAAAGGGCTATAAGGGCAATGAGTATAATGTTCTTTATTAGTAGTTTTATCAAAATTCATATGTTGCAGAAACTTGGCATTCCCAGATCGTCAGATCTAAACCCACCTTAAGCGATCGTCGAATCTAAGGGGGTTAATTTACCAGAAAAAATGACAAAATAGATCAGTGTTTGGAACTTATGACTGAGCGAGTTGCTTTATTCTGCTTTATTCTGTTATTTACTTACTAATCGTGTACTTTTTTTTTTCTGGTAGGTTCACGAATGTGAAGTATAAAAATAAGCAAGCTCCCGCCTACAAGATAAGTTAGCAATAACGTTATTTTTGCTCGTATATATTTTTTGAAAAAAAGTTTAACATAAGTTACCTGCAATTTAGTTCTAAGGTAATGTTTTTTTTAGCAGAGCTGGTCAGAAAACACTATCATAAGTTCATGTATTAATAACCTTGTTTTTATTAACAGTCGTGATGTCCACAAATATTTTCTCATATAAGGCGGGAGAGACAAGAGTCTTTGATACTGGTCGTGATAACATCCGGGTAAAGGTCGAAGAGTTAAACGAAGATGTCGCAAGGGTTATTCTTGTAGATGAAAATGAAAGTTCAATTAATGCTATAGAGGAAGTGAAATTTATAAATAAGGTGACTAAAAATAGAATATCACCTGTAGAAGTTAAGGGTCAAAAAAGCTATCTTATAACTTGGATAAATAGCTATGAGTTGTGTGTAGGTAATCAAAAAATTTTCAGATTGGAAGCACAGAGAGGGCATGTGCAAATGGAAAATACAAATCTTGCGCAGTATTTTGTAAAAAAAGACCATTAAACTTTTTTATTTGTATTCGCACCTGTAACAGTGATATATATATATATTTTATTTGTATATTATGTTGTCGTGTCGACAATATAATTTTTTATAATAATAAAGGGAAGGGTCCGCTGGGCTCCCAATTTTTTATTTTTACGTGATCGTGTAAATGAGTATTGGTCACTATTTATACTGTTATTTGGATTTTTATTAATGTTAAACCATGATCTACTAATGATGTTTATCTAAGCCTGCAAAGCAATTAATAACTTCTTTTGATCGATACGAAAAGGGCAATTAAGAAAATAGTGGTCATCTTTACCAAGACAGCTCCAATCGCCCCATATACCTAGACGTGTATGTGTCTCTTTACATATCGGGCATTTGGCTTCTGAATCGGTATATTTAAATACATCTCGATGCCATGCATTCGAATTAGTGTAAAACAGGAAAGGGAAGCGTTTATGTACTGTTTTAATAATCACATCTTTCTCTTCTGGAAATTTAGAAATCTTGATACAGTCTCGTGAATGATTATCAGCATTTTCAATTTGTGGGGATTCGGAAGTTTCAGGGTTTATCCAGGGATCGAGCCCAGTCTCTTCCGTATATGCTCTATATAAGCTCAACTGGATTTTATCTGACAAATGACTCGGTGAATCAACCAATTTAGCATGCCAGTTCAAATATTCAGGGGTTAAAGCACTTTCTCCGAAATAGGCTTTATCCATGTTATTGTTTTATATGATCGCAAATTCAAATTATGAGTTGTGCTGACACTGTGCATAACAATTATAAAAAAAAAACAAATATAGTATTACAAAGCGATGACCCTTCGGGTCTAACTAATTTACAAACGTTTGAAACAAGAATACACATAGTGGTTATACCTGGATAATTTTATAATTTATGCTGTTATCTCAATTTTGCACTTTCCACATATAATAAAATAAGATCCAGCTTCGTATCTACCTTTTACACTTTTCCCATCTTCGTGATTTAATTTACATACTGGACATAATGACCTCTCAATAATATTATAATAATCAAATTTTTCAGTAATAAATGTTTTATATAGATCAGAATATCACAACAGTGTCTTATTACGAAAGTAAGCATGGTCATGGGTCTGTTTCTCGGGCAAGACTTTCTCAGTAATGGGTTTTAAGGCAGGTGGTATAGATGATACACTTGCATGATCTATAGATGGAATCTTATTTTCTGGCAATATATTATTAGATGAAACACTTACCTTCGCTTTAGTTTGGTCATCATTTTTCGTGACGGTTTCTCGTAATGGTTCTACTGAAGTCACTTTCTTGATAACATTTTGAATTTGAATATTAGTAAGACTAGAGATAGCATATATACTGTAGGTAACTCGTTTGATTTTATCTATTCCAACCCCGTTTTTCCCAAATAGCATTCGAATTTTTTTAGCTCTTAAAGTTTTCATACGCAAGTTTCCTGATGTAATACCAGGTAGATTTTCTAACATTTCCTTGTATAATTGCGTTCTGGCAGTTTTATCTGTAACTCTTAATTCACGACAAATTTCAATAATTCTATTTTCAAAATTATCTGAGTAATAGTACCAAGCTAGGATTTCTTCATGTCTAGATCGTATCGCATAATGAAATAAACGGACTAAGCTTTGTGTTGTGATTTGAAATGTTCGATATTCTTTAATCTCAGAAGAAACTGAAGATACAATAGGGGCGCTACTGAGCAATTCTTTTATTAATCCTTGTTCAATATACTGTCTATTAGTGGGTTCAATTTTGTCAGGCTCCTCAGATATATAATCATTATAATTTGTAGACTTGCTTTCTGATAAATGTTCTATATTACGATTTGAAAAGTTTTTTTGTCGATCGTCAGGATTCGTGATGGAAATTTCTTGGCATTTTTCGCTTACATGATTTTGCTCGGGAGAGATAGAAGTATCTGAAATTAAGTTCGAGGATTGGTCTTCAGCTGATTCACGTTGAAGCTTCTTCTCTCTATTGTGTTGCTTTATCTCGCTACTAACTCTTTCCTTACTTTTCAAATCCAGGAATTCATCGATCTCTTTATCCTCCGATGAACCAACCTCCGGTTGAGATGAAGACTCCTGATGCACATCAGAATTTGAGGCGTTACCAGATACCTTGTTAGAGTTTTCCGTTTCAGTAGAGATGTCATTAACTGAAGATTGATTGGTATCTTCATATGATTTATATATGCTTGTTTCTTTATCATTTTGCGAATCCTTCTGTTCTAATTTCGAAACTCTGGATCTAAGCTCGTTGATTTCAGCATCTCTTAATTTCGTGTTTTCTGCACTTTCTTTTGCGGATTGTTCTAATTCTATGATTCTAGCCATAAGTAAATCTTTCTCTTTTCTAAGTTCGGGAATTTCAGCATTCTCTTTCCTGAGTTTAGTAATCTCGGATGCAAGCTTGAGATTCAACTCTTTCAATGAATTAATCGTGTATTGAGCGTTTTCCATCTTTTTATATAAAATACGGATGTATTCAATTCTTTATCGTAGAGGTATAATTCATGCGATAAAATCGTTGGATTTAATCCAACAAGTGAAAACGCCAAGAAAATTTTCGATCATATGCAAGTTAATATACATCGATATCAATACAATAAAATAAATTCACGAAATATACACGCATAAGTAAACTGATTATGTATGCGAAATCAGTAACCAGGGCCAGCTTCATTTGACAGCAAAAAATAAAACGCATCTCAATCATTGCTAAAAACTTGCTAGTATCGTTAAAAATAACTCAATCATAAGGGCATTTTTTTGGCTCGGAGAATATACTTTTACGGAGGTATGCGTAAACGTGATGTACATTAAGATAACCCAATCCGACTAATTCTGCCCTCACAAAATAAATTCTATAATAAATCGAAAATCAAGGTTTTCGGCCGAAATTCATAATCAATGGAACAGGTAATAAATATTTTAATTCCAGTAAACAAAATCGAGATAGAAATATTCCCAAAATATATGAATATGATTAACTCGAGGATTCGTTTATTATTCTATCATTAAAAACAAGTTATATTGAATACATGCACAGCTTGTTACACATAATTGTTTGTTTTCCACTTTATACTCAAATACCATACTAACTAATCATTCTAGATCTACACTCTCACCCAGGTATTTAGATTTCAACAGCTCCAACCAATAAACATCGTGTTTACGATTCAGCTTCTTCCTATCTTCAGCTCCTGGTGGCCAATTAATATGTTTATGATTCATAAAAGATGGGTAGCACTCAATTTCATCTTTACCGGCCCAATCGAAATCTATAAGCATTCCTTTATATCGGCCTTGAGATTTGTCAACTAGAATGTTGGAATCACGGAGGTCAGCAAAAACTATACTTTCCTCATGCAATTTGTCAATAGCTTCTTTGACATCACTTAAAATCGCCTTAGATTCATCACGACTAAGTGGGCTACAGTTATAAAGTGGTTCTGCCTCAACATAATCCATCACTACCATATAGAAACCGTCCACCATCTCTTTGCTAATGTAGAGTAATTTTGGTGCTTTTCCAATTTCGTAACATAGTTCGTGTGCCCTACGATTATACTGCCACGCAAACTTAACAATAATTTTCCGCCCGTCTTTTGTTATGGCTCTCCAGAGAAGCTTGTGATCAACAAGTTTTCCTTCATATGTAAATTCTACGATTGTATCTTGGTGTTTGTATTGATTCGGATAGGGAAAAAAACGGTATGAATTTTGTCGATTTGTAAGTATATCTAGCGATGCATAATACTCTTTTAGCCTGTTGACTCCCAAGCACAAAGCTTTGAAAAGCCGTGCCACTCGCTCCGCATGGGCTCGATTGTTTGTAGGAATAAGAGGTATAAAGTCTGTCAAGGGATCTATAATGGGTTTCTCAACATATACTGCCCCTAAAATACACACCCACGGTCCAGCTAAGCACAAGATAAAAGACGGCCAGTTGCACCATTTGAGTACTTCCCCATATGTCTCTTGGGTATAATATTTTGCAAAAGAAGCACTAGCCTGGACAGTTGGATCACAGCCACCAGTGCCAATTTCATTTTTCATTTCAACAAGAAAGCGTAAAACACTTTTCGAAAAGACGTTAGATTCCAATACACCATAATTTCTAGAATCATCTTCCAGGCTAATCGTTCTTAATTCCTCACCAAATAATTTACGAATTTTTTCTTTAAACACTATAGAACGTCCATGTTCACTGCGGTATATTTCAGCCATTCCATTAATGAACTCCAGGGTCCATTCATAATGCTCTCTCCCCATTTCTAGATCTTCATTACGGTAATCACGCAGGAACTGACTGAAAACGTCGTGATAAATTTGTACTGGCGGGCCAACGCATTCTGGAGGACGGTGAATAAGTAACTGCTTGTCTTTGGCATGACGGTCAATAAGATTATTAAGAATTGCAAAAGATGACGGGGAAGGATAGCTCTTAATCTTCTTTACGTTTTTTGTCTGTTCTGTAAAGATCGGAAGAGTTTAGTTGAGATTACAAAATTTCTACAGATGCGGACATATGTTATACAAACAACCTTCTTCATAATTATCCAAATCGGAAAAATGTCGCTTTGTAGTTGATGAAGATCTGCATTGCAAAAATTATTAGTTATATCGGAAGCACTCCACATAATAGCTTGCATACTATGAATAGATTCTCTTACGAGGTTGCAATCTTCTCTCGCTGAAGTGTTTTTAGTTTTTCTTCCAATTCTTTTATTTTCTGATCTTTTGCATCCGTATCTATATAATAAGTATGAGGCCCAAGTTAATAAATGAAATTATTGCGGAGAAAGCAGTATAGGTTTGGAATATGAGTCAGAGACTCGACACTTTGTGTCTTCGAATGCAGTCGTGGTACTACTTACCCTGTCCTTCGCCCTTGATTTTCTCAATAAATTCAGCAATGATTTCGGCTGGTCCACCAGGAAGATTGTAAGGGTGAGCTATAAGCTTATCCACATTCAACCTAAGGAAACTCCGACCATTAACTTCTTGTTTACGAAGAATATCGGAATGGTTATCCTTAAGTCCTAAGTCTTGCTTGCTTAAAAATTCTAGAAAATCCTCCGTTGTCGTATATCCTTCAACTTCATTGATTGTAGGAAGTGAAATTGTTTTTCCGGTAGAAGTAGACATATTCACGAATTTAGTTTTTGGATGGGACGAAAAAATTTTTTTAGTCGTACATTCTACCTTTTTATAGTTTATACAAACAATCAGATTGTCGTACAACAGATCACACATGCATAATTTCCGACATGCGATTCTGTATAATACATTCTGTCATATCAGTGAAAGAGCATATAGGATTTTGCTTAAGAATTTCAGCTTCATCGGGAGTAATATCAGGTGTATTTGCTATTGATTCTGTATCCTCACCTTTAATTTTTTTCTCAGTATTCTTAATAGTATGAGAAATTACATTCCTCTTAACTTTTTCAGTATCTTCTGCTGAAATTAACTTAAGTGTTGCACCAGTACTAGCAATAAGACTGCAAAGAATCTCAGGAAAATATTTGGCAGATAAGCGTTTCTGATATTCAACCTCAATATAAGTTTCGACTGCTGGTGATGAGTCAACAATATAACAATCAGAAATTTTGTTCCATTCATGATAGCCTTTGATTGCTGTTGGTAAATCTCCATGTCTCAAGGCAGAGAGTTCAGCACGAATGAGATCACGATTTGGTTCTTTGAAAATACTATTTTTTTTACTATTATAAAAAGAAATAATATGATATGAACAATCACGCACTCGATAAAACATTTGTGCAAAAGCTTCAGCATGTACTCCTGTATTAATATTGCTTATTCCTATAACTGAATCAAAATGATTAGAAATTTCAAAGGAAATACCAGCTTCTACAGTACTTGTATAAACCACACAATCAAGACCACTCCAAGTAGCATTAATATTAGCAAAGTCTTCTTGACACTGTTTCCCATCCATTTGACCAAAATAAACCCGTGATAAAACGTGTGAACCATCTGGTTTTAATAACTTAGAAACCTGAACAGCTATAGCTCTAGCTTTTTTACATGAGGTAACTGAAAAGGCAACACACTTATCTTCTTGAAGCAACTTAAGACCTTTACGTATAGCTTCTAATCCTTTATCGAGGTCATAAAGAATTTTTACAGACTTACCTTTATGTGGCTGATACTTATTATCAAAAACTCTTATATCTTCACCTCGATATTGTCTTAAGAAGTTTAAAGTAGATTCATTTGCAAAAGCATCCATAGCTAGAACATGTACAGCTGACTTCAACAAATCACGCATGGCATTTTCAGATTCTCAGGCATGAACTCCACCATTCATTTGACGCATAATAGCATTTACTTCATCTAAAATAACTACATAAGAACCACCTCCAAAAAGGGAAAGACAGTGTGTACTCTTAGCCTGAACAATAATAACATCCCAATTACATATAGCTAAATCTCCTTCAACTTCTTGATAATTACATAGACGCAATCCTGCATTTTGTAATATATCAACTTTAGCTTTAGTCTCATTACTGAGAGTCTTACGATATGAAACCCAAACAAAACACGGCAGTCTGCTCTTTTCTTTGGCTAAGGAATTGAGAATAATTCTTAAAGCTTTTGTTTTTCTTGTCATTACAGATGAGCAAATTAGGGTTGTAGTAGGTTTCTCACTTATGAAATCTGGATAAGCTTCTGGGGTGTTCTCCATTTCCTTAACATTAATATTATTTCCAGATAATTCTACGAGTGGGCATGGATGTTTTACAGCCTTGGGCAATCTTTCAATTAATCCCCACTTCTTGAGTTTCACTTCTGATTCGACTTTATCTAATACCTTATCGAAACTAAGCCCTTTGTGATCTGGTTTATATTGTTTTTGCCGATAGCACTTGAGTATAAAATGTCCATTTTTTCGAATAAATCCGTAGAGTTGGTCTTTTTCATATTTAACATCACATATAGGGCAATCTTTAGAGCGGAGCTCATTATTATATAATACAGATTGTGCTTGAAAGTTGATGAACCCCTTCTCGATTCTTCCAATCTGAAGCCACCCATATTTTGCAATAACTAGATTGGCACCTTTACTCAAAGCATTTTCATCATTAATAGGTTGTAATTTTTCTTTTACTGGCTCATCGGGAGAAAAGGTTCGTGGCAAGATTACAGAATAATTTTCTTTAGGCTGAATCAGATAATCATCTAGAATTTTAAATCCATTTTTTACAGAAGAGATAGCAGGTCTTTTTATATGACCTTCCTTTGCTGATCCTAGAAGCTGAAGATTGAAATGTGTTTTGGAAAAACCAATGTCAATAAATTTCGAATAAGGTTCCTTAACTAATTCTATAACTTTTTCTATAAATCCCTTAAGTTCTCTATAATCTATGAATTGGGCCCGAGGATAAATGATATGCCAGCTACATTTCTCAGCATTTGATGAACTAGCTAAGGCAAAAGAATTTAAAGAAGGTATACAATTGGGAATAAGGCTTAATGTATCTGCACAAGCAACTAAAATTCGAGATATCAAATCTTCTCGGTTAATTTTTTCACTATCTAAAGAAGCATGTTTAGGATTATTTGGATCAGGTTTTTGTCTTGTATCAATATCAATAATTAAGCATAGGGGCTGGTTTCCATCGATACATTTGTGGGTATTAGGTATTCTATAAACTTCAGAGGGATGATCGATCACTGTATAACCTTTTCTTGCCATCCGAATTATATATTGAGAATAAATCTTTTCAGATCGATATGCATCTAAAAGCACAGTATCATTTCTATCAGAAGAGCTGGTATAGCTATTGGATGCAAGCCAGTATTTATAAAATATATGTTCTCTATAGCCAGGTTTATAATCAAGATCTGTTAAACCGATAAAAAGCTGTTTTGCTTTATTATATTCAGCTGACTTTTGATTTAAGCACTGTTGCTATAATGATTCACGAAGACGTTTTTTTGCTTCACTAGACAAACTCATTTTATTAATTTGTATATATGTTGTTTGTATATATGCTTTGTTTGATCTGACAAAAAGTATATGTTATTGAAACTATATTAATTGGTAGATAAATCTTTAAAATAAAATTAATTATTACAGAAATTTTAGCCGGACACCAAAAAAATTATATATTTGATTGGAGTAATTATTATATATAATCACGATGATATTATACCATTGCTCATATATTCATAGAACTGGAGAAATCTGTGGTCGACGTAGTAAATCAGAAAGATGTTATATTCATCGTAATTCTCCAATATCTACTCCTTGTAGAGATTGTGGTGAATCAAATAGGTCTAAATATAATGCATGCAATAAACATGTGGGAAAATATAAAAGTAAAGAAAATTATGACAGAAAAAAGCAGAATGAGTTATATGCACAAATTACTAGGTTTAAGAATTATATATCTGACTTCCCCGATTCTATGCACGAAGTCTAATCATATACCTGGCATACGTATATATTGATTATTTTTTCCAGGACCTCTTATTTTGGAAAAATGGCACTTATGTGTCTAAGTAATGTTATATCCTCTTTGATGCCTTCTATATTTTTGGTAATTTTATTATGTAAAGCTACAGATTCCAAGACTTTATTTCAGGAGAAATGACACTTTGTGCCTGATCGAACTTGTGTCTTGTTTGCATCCATTTTCTGATAAGATTACTTAAACAGCAATCCATTCAATTTTGGGTATATATACCAACTCATGATAATTAATTTCGAATTGAAAAAAATAAGTAGATTAATGTATAATCACATTCTACTTATCGATATAGATTATTTACATATCTATCATGGCAACTGTCCAAAAAACTAAAAAACCCAAAACTAATAGCTTTACCTCTATTTTGGATCAGGTCCTCAATAAATATAACCTATCGGTTGAATCAAACCCGCTTCAATTACGTGCTCATGCTGATGAGCTTAGTATTATGCTACCGAATTGGAAGGCTCGTAAAGATGTGAAAGAGGCTCTCCGTTGGTGCTTATTCAAAGAAAATCAAATAGGAGTTCTTGTGCCAGACAAAAGAAAGAAAAAGCTCACCATTGAAAAAAGAGCTCTCTATTGTGCCAAAACTGGTGATGAGTGGGATATTTATATCCATGCTCTCGATTTAGGTCCAAAAAGTAATGACGAAATCGTTGCCTCCTGTTCACGACTCTCTCTATTTCGTAATAAATTGGCAAAAGCTGGTATTTCTCAAGAACCTATTGATATTTATGCTAAACTTCCGGGTGTTACCACGGCTTCTAACAAAATTCAGAAAGAACGGACTGAACAAGATGTAGCCAATAATCAGTTAAAAATTCCACCACATTTCTCCTTAGAAAAAGGACTTAAAAGAATTCAAAACATTGATACTACCAAAGATCCCTTATTACAGGATCTCGCAGATGTAATAATGATGTTGTGTATGAGACCTGCTGAAGTATCCAGCCTCCAGATTGATCACTATGAAGTTGACCCATCTAATCCTTCGACATGGTATAAAAATGGTTATTCTTGGTATTGCACTGGATATGCTAAGAATAAAGGAGAAAATAAGAATAATCCAGAACCTCGCCCATTCCTATCAATGGAGAAGAACCCAGAACGTGCAAGAGCATTGCTTATCTGGATTCAAGAGGCTATAAAGGCCGGAAAGTTAAGTGATCCTACCTTTAGTAAAAATAGAAAGTGCAATACTAGGGCATTTAGCAAGTTTTTGAAGCCTTATAAAATCACGCCTAAAATATTAAGAAAAATAGGAGGAAAGCATGCCTGCAGAGTTCACGGTGGTCCAAACCCAACTCATCAGCATCTTGATCTTCTTAACAGAATAGCATTGAGGCATAAGATTGTTCATCTAGATACGGGAAAGAATTATGCTATAGGTGATACAGAATCAGAAGACTCTGACCTCGAATCCGAATCTGACCAAGCACCTAGCCCAATCTCTGGATCTCAGGCCTCATCATTCTAACCTAAAAACAATAATTTTAATCCCTTCGAATCTCAAATAGCAGAAATTGATTCAATGCTAGCCAGCTTCTAAAAAACTGCTATATTCTAAATCATGTCTT